CTTTGAGTCATTTCTGACTCATAGCGACCCAGTATAGGGTTTTTGAGGAATAGTGGTTAGTTTGAACTGCAGACCATGTGGTTCAAGCAGACCTTGCAGTCCAGTACATTATACCATAGCACCATGTCTGGACTTCATTTATAAAATTTGTAAAAATAAATTATAAGAACAAAGTCCTTTAAAAGTCAGGAAAGAAAAGTATCAAACAGAGAGAGTCCTATCTGCTTCTTTAACTAGCAAAGGTTTTTGGTATACACAAGCTTCACAAGTGTACAGTTCAGATAGTTTGGTGTTCTAATGAGGCACCTGACTCTCATGCAATTTTTTTTATATGTAAAGAGAGTAACCAGCCACAGTCTCCCAGGTCCTGCCTTTCTACGTGACAGATGATGCATGATTCTCTGAGAGAACAGAGACAGATGACCTGTGAGGTCAGCATCTATACAAAACCCAGATTGTTGGAGTAATTGTCTGGAGCAGGGCTCAGACAAGAGCTAAGTTAGAGTTCTCACTTTACAAGTGTGTATGATATTACATTTGCCTAGAAGAACTTTCTTTTGAACCACTATTTCTTCTATCATACCTACATTACATCTGTGTGACGTTGAATTATAACTCTTCTTCCAGAGTCACATGGAACATAGGTGGGTCTGTAGATTAAGTGTAGAATGGCTAGCCACAACATAGACAGTTTAAGTCCATCAGTGGATCCACAAAGAAAGATGAGACTTTCTGCACCAGCAAAGATTTATATCTCAGAAACCCTAAACAAGAGCGCTATGAGTAGAAACCAACTGGATACTTGATACCATTTAACAACAATAACGATAGACTTTGCAACTCCCATTAAATGACTTTGTCAGATCATGCAAATATAGTGTACAGACTGCAATGTGGATATGATAGGATATCATATCCTATAAGATATACGATATCCTATAGGATATAATAGGATACAATCCATAAACTTAAAAGAAAGACCACTAAAGTCAGTAATCATGAAATTGAAGTCTCTACAAACTTCTTAGGTCTGGAATTTATCAAATATGCATAGAAAATTACCAATGATTGGAATGCCAAAGTTGAAAACCAAGAAAAAAGTCGAGTAGTTAGAAAGGGTTTTTCAAGAAGACAAAATCAAACATTATAATGAAATGATCTAAATCTGGAATTAGAAAACCAAAATTGGAGAACATGCTCAACATTTTTCAAGCTGAAAGAACTGTAGAAAGAATTCAAGCCTGAAGATTCAATATTGAAGATTTCTAGGGATATCTGGTATGGCGCTGTGGGATGAGCTCTGGTGTTAACCACAAGGTCAGAAGTTCAAACACACTAGCTTCTCCAAAAAAACTCTGTAAATGGTCATTATGTGTCTGAACCAACTTGAGGGCACTTAACAAGAACAAGGGCAAATATTGATTGACACAAGAAGCATCAAAAGATAGGAGAAATATCTAGAATCATTGCACCAAAACTAACAGGTCCTTGTTCTATCATTTCTAGAGTTAGCATATGATCAACAACTAGTAGCAATGAAGAAAGAACTGTAAGCTTCACAAAACACATTACTGAAAAGAAGCCTCTAAGAACTATTGGAATGCAGACTGAAATCTTTCAACAAACTGATTCAGTGGTGGGGGCACTCAGTGGTCAATGCCAAGATATTTGGAAGACAACTCCCTGGCTAAACGATTGCTAGAGATCTATATTTGTGCCATTCCAAAGAAAGGTGACTCAACCGAATGCTGAAATCATGGAACAATATCATTAATGTCACATGTGTGTATTTCATCTCTACTGTTATTTTGGTCCAGAAATAATCACAATTCCAAGCCACTCTATTATTTCTGTGAACATGAAAATACTGACAATTTAAAAATAAGCTTAAGATAGCTTCTATCCCTCCTTCCTAATATAAAGCAAACCTCAGATAGAACTAACATTATAGAATATTCAAAGAGTTACAAACAAGATAACTAGTTTTCATAGGTCTAGGCCTTTGTCAAGGGGAGACTTACCTTAAGGAAACAGCTCCTGTGAAGAGACTGCATTAGACATGAGGTTGCAGATTTCTCC